CGTAAAGTTTATCATTATATAGGTAGCTACAATTACATTGAGTACTTTAGAAAATCATATATCTTCCTTCCTTGGATTGAAATCCTGTAGAAGTTACGCGCTCTCTGTTTGCTAAACAAGCACTTATTATACTTTCTTTACTTTTCTTTGGATTTCAGAACTGAGGTTAGCAGTCCCAATATGACGTAGGAGCAGGAACCGGGCGGGACTTAGCGTGCCGCTGGCCCTAGGCTCTATTCTACTAAGCGCACGCACTCTCTTAGAGTTCAACCTTACTGCTGGAATGCACATGCCAATAATGGAACATAACTTCACATTATTCAAAGTGTAGGTGATGTGAGCTGTTATACTTAAGACCAGCAGACCTATGAAATCAAGTGTACTTTCATCATTTTGAATTGTTGGGAAGAGTGCAAAAAAATGTTCCTCTTAAGAAGCCTTCAAAACTGTTAAACCTATCTGTTAAACGATTGCTCTAACTCCAGGCACGCAGAAGTTTGTTTTGCAATGGAACACAGCCATAAGTGTGTTATCCCGCTAGATGTAGCGTCGTTTATCAATAGGAGGTCAGCCGTCAGGAGTCTCACTGCGCAGTTAGTATCGTAAGCGGAGCCTGTGCTGGGAACAGCGCAAGGCCTACCCTTCTTCCAGCGAGGCGCGCGCATCCTCAAAGAATCAATGTTACGTTACTGGAAATGGAACTTGATTACAAGGAAACCTTCAAAATATCTGTTATACGATTGCTCTAAGTTCCAACACGCAGAAGTTTCTCGCAGGTTAACTCCAGCCCGCAGGCTTGGCCCTTCCGCAATTTGATAAAGTGGGTAAGATGATGATTATTTAGTCACAAAAAGCCAATTACATTTTATATCCAGGAACTTATATTTTATTGTGAAAAACTATTTTACACGAAATGTGCTGCTCTATGAACATGAACATATGAACCCTGTAACATCGTGCTGCAGCAGTTTTCAATTGATTTCGTATCTAAACCACTCGTACTAAGCAATTTCCTCAAAGCAGTGTATTGAAAAACTTTAAAAGATATTCTTTATAAGGACTATTTTAATAATGCAAGGGAAATTTTCCTTATGCTTATCATTTTTCCTTGGTTATTGTACGCAATTCTGCGTCTTAGATGTTTAATACGATGCAAGAGCTTTAGTCTCTCATTCAACTATGATGCAAATTTTTCCTAACATTTCACTCCAATTTTTTAAATATTTTTCAGCTTTTTGGCAAGATGCTAAGGCTCTACCCTTAAAGCGGTCTTCTAGAAATATGTGAGACATTTCTAGTTTTCTCCTGCAAAAACGTGCCTTACAGAGAATGCGTCTGCTGCACAGGGATATCGCAACCGTGGTTCTTCCTTCGTAAAAACTGTAGCGAAAAAGTGAGGTGAGAGGAATGCTACATAGTCCCTCCATCTTGAAATTTTGGTACTTGAGAGCCGCTAAGCACCGTGATTGCTCACGAATCAGCTTAGATTACCATCCACTTTTCATATGAAAGGATGCAAATTGCTACATCCTTAGTA